CACGAGGCCGTTTTATTGTTTGTTAGGGGAGCAATAAATTCCCCAAAGACGTATTCCATTTTCAAATTTATTAGCAAAAAATCTGCCTTTACGACTGTGTAAACTTGCCAGTATGAAACAAGTGATTAAAGAGTACCTATCTAAGTTCTTTTTGCATGACTCTCGTATGGAAAAGCTAAAACTTTCCAGTTTTTTGTATAACAAATGAAATATGAATTATGTTTTTATAAAGTTTTTGCGCGTTAGACGCAACGTTCGCCCTTGTGCCTTTATTTTATGTCCTTGCCTTTTTATGAAGTAAGTACTGTGAAAGAGAGCACCTTATACTAGGTCACTAATTTAAATATAGTATAAACCGACTAAATTTGTTTTGTTCGTTCAATCAGATCTATATTAGGTGCCACGGTCCTCAAGATTGAGTAATGCTGTCGTTAGAATAAGCTTATTCATAACTTTTGAGCGGCGGACCGACTAAATCTAGTTTTTTGCGGCTGGAAATACTAAATGGCGGCTTTTTACCTAATTTCAAAAATTCGGCTATGGTTATGCTAGAATACAGACGCCTCTAAGTCAATGTACAATATATTTCTTAAAACAAATAAAAACTTTGAAATAACGGCGTTTAAGTAATTAGTTTGTCTCGTGATTTTGTATTTCTGTACTTTTTCAGGGGAAAAGGGGACATGTGGAATTAAAAGTACCATATATTAATTGATTCAATATTTTATTTTCATTGCTCCAAAATATACACAATGACAATATTGTAAATCTGGATTCTGGATAAATCCACATTTGCATAGTGTCTTCAAGGTGTTTCAAATTTAAAAGTGATTACATGTAGAACATGAAAGATAACTTGTTACAATGCGTTGCAAGCAGACACTCCAGCGAGGTGCCTCGAAAGAAATGTCTTTTTTACATAATTGTACCGAGCGGCGCCAGCGCGGACGCCGCTTATGCCGCTTGCGCACTACGCCTACGTACGTACGATAAGATGCAAGTAAAATTAGTAAATTCACTGTTCCTACATTAAATGAATATTTACAAATAAAACTTTAAAGGAACGCTTTGCAAACATTCAACAAACTTGAGATCGTCTTAACGTAAAGATGGTAAGATATAAAATTTTCAAAAAAGTTTAAGAACGAAAGTCTAAAACGTTTTGCTGAATTAATATTTACAAGATTACAAATTTAAAAAATGAAATTGTGCCAAATCACATATTACAGCTTTCGCAAATAAATAACAATTGAATTTAGCCTAGAATAATTTCTTTGATAAACAAAACAATAAAAAATAATTGCATTCAACAAAGCTACGATAACAAATTTAATATAAATTAATGATAAAAGAAATGTACAATTTTTACAAAGCTAAGGGGATCACTTTTATTATTATCACTGTAGAGTAGTGTTATCGTCAGTTAGTTGCGATTAACGTAATTGTACGCCCAACAAACCAGAGCGGCATTCTGAGGCGTACTTTCCCTATCGTATCATGGTGAATACAATTCTATAATACTTACGTCTAATTATAATTATTGCATTCGCTATTTACAATTGAAATCATTCATTATTCATGTTCTGTAATTCTCTATCATTACTACATTATCCAACCAATAAAGATTTTAATAGCCATACACAAATCGTGTTTCTGAAAACTTTAAGGTAACTGATTCACAATAGTCCCTATTTATAATTCATCAATAATAATTGTGCATACAATTCAAATTATCTAAAACTATTGTAAAGGCAAGTGGGTGATGCATCAATTTACACTTTTATTAAGAATGCCATTTGCATTGGTGTATCTGAAATACCTAAGAGAAAAAATCTTATAAGATATCTTAAAATTACGTGGTGTTATAGCAGCGTGGTCACCCCATGGGGCCAATAATTGTATCACTTACATCTAAACAAGTAAAACCACAGGCGTCAATTTATTTAAATAACATTTAGTTGTCTGTACTAATACACTAGTAGCACTAATTATATTATTATGCTTTATTTGCACTCTAGACATCGATTATAATCCCACTGCAACTCCGTAAATAGTAGTTTCAAACCTACAAAGGGAGTTTCACTACGGACATATATGTTATGTGTGGGATGTCCTAAAGACGACGGTACTTTATGTATACATTAGCTATTTGTAAAGTGCATTCATTGCCTTGATATGGTCAGTTTGTTTCGTTGATAATCATAATCCTTGCATCCAAGTCATCTATTCGTTCCGTCACTCTCGTACGCTCCACTTGCATGTATTCTTAATTTGTCAGTTTTTCTTCATTCTTTGGCATTGTTTAGTGAGCTAAGGCTTTCACTAATCATTCATTGTTTTTTAACATAATTCTCCTGCTCCAACTTTTAAAGTATTGCACTGCTCAATCTACATAGAACTGCTCGATGATTTATTACTTATACATTTTTTGAAAACAGAAATGGTAGTTTAAAAAAAACGATATTATTATTACTATAATGATGACATAAAATACTTTGAGTATTATTTGTGTTGAAATATTATAAAATAATTAGATATTTTGTGACCTAATCTATTCAGTCAATTGAATCGAATCAAATAATAGCCTCTCTCGAAATAAAAGCTTACAAACATAGTACAGCGGTCGAGGGTTATAATCAGACTTACAATGAAGAGTTCAACTTTAGGTACCATATTCGATTCTGTGAACGTCTACCGCCACCGCTTCCTTCACGAGTAGCGGAAGGTAAGAAAAGAAAACATACGGAACAGCAGCACCGGGAAGGCGGCGACCGAGACGCGGCTCGCCAGCGGGTCTCATTGTCCAGTCCGGGTCCTCGAGGCTCAGAGCGAGTGCGCGTGCTCGTCCGCGGGTCAGACGTGCGACTCGAGCGGGGGCCGCGGCGGGGGCACCAGCGGCGAGGGCCACACGGCGTTGGCCGTGAGGTCGGGCGACGACGTGCGCGTGTGGCGCGCCGACCAGCCGTCCTTGTCGAAGTCCTTGGTGCCGCCCACGGTGTGGCGGCGCTTGATGCCGCGCTCGGGCATGCCGTTCTTGCGCTTGAGCTTGGTGGAGCGCCAGGCGCCGGCCTCGCGGCGCCGCACCACGTTCCACTCGCCCTTCTCCAGCTTGCTGAGGCGCTCGCCCTTGCTGAGCGACTCGGAGCGCTGCAGCCGCTCGTGGCGCTCGTGGCGCTCGAGCCGCTCGTGGCGCACGTTGAGCGACTCCGAGCGCAGCACGCGCTCGCCGTCGCGGCTCGGCGACTCGGCGCGCTTGAGCTTGGCGCCGTCGGGCTCCTCGGCCGAGGCGCCGTTGCGCTTGGCGCACTCGGGGTTCGGCCGCAGCCCGTTGTAGCCGGCGTACGGCGCGCGCTCGACCGTGCGGTCGTTGTCGGGCATCGCGTCGCCGCTCGAGTTCTGCGACCGCGTGTCGACGTCCTTCTCGTCGTCGTTGGCGGCCGCGTCGTGACTAGTCTTTTTTGGAATGATGCAGTTCTCCTTCTCGGAGTCGTCGGCGTCGTCGCGCGGCGGCCGGCGGGCGGCGGGGGCGGGGGCGGGGGCGGGCGGCTGCGGCCAGGCGCGCGGCGCGTCGGGCTCGTCGGCCGACGACGAGGACGAGTGTCGCGGGTCCCGCGCCAGCCACGCGGCCTTGAGCTGCCGCGCGCGCAGCGCGGGCGACACGCGCGCCGAGTGCTCGCTGGCGTCGGACGGCGAGCTGGCGCTGGACTTGCCCTCGTCCAGCTCGTCCTGGCACTCGTCCGCGTACGGGATGCTGCCGTCGTCGAGCGGCGACGAGTTGTTCAGCGTGCGCAGCTTCTGGTCGAAGGTGCTCGTCAGGGAGGACACCAGGTCGCCGGTGCCTGCAACAACGCGGCGGACGTCAGAGCGGGCCGGGGATTAGTCGGGTTAACACGGAGTACGGAAGCGTGTTAGGTTCGTCGCGTTCGTTAAGTGCGTGATGATGTCGGATGATGAATGAATGATGTCGGTATGTACAGTAGGCGGATGCGATGGCGTCGCGTCGACCTACGCTAGACGAATGCACGAGCATATTGAAGCCGTGCTGTCAGCAGCCTTTCGAAGCATTAGTTCTGGACTCGCCGTATTTGTATACGATTCGCGGTGGCGCGCGCCGCGTGACAGTCCCGTGACGTCACTCGGCGAGTGCCGTTTGAGAAAAGTTCGTGCGACAAATACAGCTAATCCGTGTTAACATCGCCGTCCGTACACGCACACACACACACTTGCAACACGCTCACATTCCTATACCTTTGGGTGTGGACAAAAGTAAGGCATGGTGTGTCTACTCTCTGACGTCAGTACTGGACACCTAGTGGAGCAAATAGCAGACACTTTAAAGTATAATTGGATGTCTAGACATTAGGGCATAACAAATAATATAGGAGCACAAAATAATAGTATACGATTACTATAAGTACATAAGTGAACTCTGTACGAGTGGGTCATTGATAAATAAAAATATTGTGTGGGCAATAAGGTACTTACCATCGATAGAGAAGTTATTGAGTGCGTGCGTGTGTCGCGTGATATCCTGCCGGCCGTGGCCCAGTGCTGCCATTGTCTCGATTTCGATTCTGCAATGAATATATAAAATACATTGGTTCGATTCATTGAACAACTACGGCTTTTGTTCTTAATAATATAAATATTATTAAACTGCTGAATACAAAAATTGTCAAAATAAATTCGAGCGGAAATACCACCCCTGACCGAAGAAGGAATTCCGAACTTACTTGCTATGTTGCTGATTAAAACGATGCGGCAGGCCATCATAGTCAGCAAGAGACGTAGTAAGGTGCGCAGGGGGTGACGTAAGCGGCGAGGCGGGCGGCGACCCTCCTGGCGACACTTCCAGCCGCTTGTCCGGCTCTGACCACTTCTTGTCGGGTTTAGAACGCGGTTTGCGCTGAATCTTTCGGTTTGCCGCCGATATTATCGACGAGACTATGTCACGGGTTGACACATCTTTGCCTGTGAATAAAATTATTAATATTACAGCGTTGTGTTTTGGAAGATGTCAAAGTTTTGGTCAGAAAGTTTGCGAAATATAACTATATGATCACAAGTATTAAAAATAACCAATTTGTTGTAATTATTAAGTTTTTTTAAGCTGTGGTAGCCTAATGCAGCCCCAAGCAGAGTTGCGTGCCAGCTCCAACCATATACTGGAAACCATTATCATTAGATGATTCGCCTTCAATGCGGCAGAATATTTCGCCTCGCATACGAAGCATTTATATTTTAACTGAAATTTTAATTTAATTTTTTAGTACTAACATAGTGTTAAAGAATCACATTGTTTACTACCAAAACTGGACTATTCGTTGTCTAATAAATAAAACTTATTATTATATTATTAGGGCCTAAACCCGCGCCTGTGAGGAGACCAGTGCCCGGCAGTGAGACTTAGAAATGGGTTGGTGAATCTTTTTTTTATCTTGCTTAAATATTAATAACATATATTCTTTGTTTGTGTTGCACTAAACACTCACCTTCAATTTTCTTGACGTTGTGGATGAGCAGGTCGCGCGATGGCGCCGGCGCAGGAGACAACTCCTCGGCGGCCGATGACGGTTCCACCGGGGGCTCCCCTTCTTCCTCCTCGAAGTACCAGTCGTACTGTAAATGACATAACATCATTAGTATTATTATTAATGCAACTCAAACGTTACAAAAAACAAATTTTTTGGATATGTGATATTGAATGTCAGAGTATTTCACTGTTATGATATTCAATAATTTTTTGTTATATTACTCCACCAATAGTTTGTTATTAATACAAAGATCGAACACTCAGAAAAAATTCCTTCGATCCGGCTGGATTCGAAGCAACGTCTTCTAGCAAACTGTGCTAAACGCTATGACAACTAAGCCACGGAACGAACCAGCTCATCTTACGAATTTTTCTATGTAAGCACAGGTTTTTGGTTTTTAACGACTTTTTTGCAGTAGCGCCATCTGTGAGAAATATATTTCTTCACTGGCCAGCTACCTTTTACAGCCACCATCAGCTGACTAGAGATGGCGCTTTGATAATTGTAATTAAGTTTATTGAATGTCAGAATGTTTCGCTATTAGGATATTTAGTTATTTGTAATTTGTAATTTTTAACTTACGGTTTCTCTTTCAAAACTCTCATTTTTTAAACTTTTATAAGTACGTTTTTAACCGACTTCGAAAAAGGAGGTTCTCAATTCGCGATTGCTCCGACATTTGTGAACCGATTTTGATGATTTTTTTGTTGGAAAGAGGGTACTTCAATAATGGTCCCATTTAAATTTGAAGAAAATATTCCGCCCTTAGGTGGCAAACTAGGATGAATGACTGGTGAGGTCGGCTTTTTTAGTACTCTGTGTTTAAACAGGATATTTATTTAAATCTATTTCAATGTTGTGCACAATTATCGGTTCCAAGCTTAAGAGTGTGTTAGTATTAAATCAGTTTTAAGTATCCATGGTTTGTGAACTGTTGTGTCTTATAAAAATAAATTAGCGATAATAAGATAACATGTCTCTAATAGTAACACAGACATCCGGAGTAAAGAGTATACTTACATGAGTGAGGAAAGATTCAATAATACGACACTGGCTCGACATATCGTTGACCATTGCGAGCATGTCGTCGGAAGCCGCGCGGACTAGCGTAGGCCCGAACACGATGGCGAGATTTCGCGCCTCCATTTTGTTAAACGCGGAGTGCGCGACCACTCGCCGTAGGTGCTGGATCAGGTACTTGAGTGTTTCGTAGTGCGCTTCTGGTAACGCGTGTACGAGACGCTTTAGTTCGCGCGCCCTTTCCGGTGACCGGTCAGCCGCTAGAAATAAAAAAATATAGCTTGGAAAATCGAATGAATAGTTAATATCAGATTTTCACTTGTCTAGGTCTTTACAAATTTCTTTGAATGAATACAACTGCGATAACGTTGAGACCGTCAAATGACACTTAGAGCTTAATTTCATATAAGTCTACACAAACCAATAATACCAAAAGAATGTAGATCAGGTTTTTGAATTAAATTTTTAACACCAATGGATTTTTTGTCAATTATATAAATTGAATTTGAAAATGAAATTGTTCTAAAAAATCCATTGGTGTTAAAAAAATTCATTAAAAAGCCTGATTTTCAGTAATTAGCAAAAACGTGCTTGATAGTTTGACTATTTTTAATGTTTTTAATTTATACATTGATTTTTCCGCAGGGATTTTATACATCACTTTGTAAGTATGGTCCTTCGAAGCGGATATACGTACCGATAAAAGCAGGATAAAGCTCAGCAGTGAGCAGGGGATCAGGCAGTCGTCGCAGATAAGCCTTGAGGAGGCTCGAAGCGACATGTACGTCCGCCCAGCGTGTGTCGCCCTCCGGTGGAGGCTCGCCCCTGTCCAACGCAGCCGCTAGGGCTGCCACGCCCGCGGCATTGCCTGGCACGCGGTATACGCCTACAGTTCGGAGGCCATATACCTGGAATTAAAAAAATATATATTGTACTTGTAGTCTTATAACATTTAAATGCTCCAAATTACCGATATTGTTATATTACATGTAACAATAAAGTTTTAAGCATCGAGTTTCTTAAATGAGGAAATAACAGTAGCACAGAACAACTTTTAGAGTAATAATTTACCTCAACAGCCTGTGCAGGAAGGGTAACCGCTCTGGGGACAAGCGGGTGCGTGGGGTCTGAGGGGCAGCGTTCGAGCGGCGCGCCCAGCCAGCCCGTGGTGGCGGTACTTTGAGCCGAGGCGCTGGTGCCGCCGTGCATACGACGCAACTGCTTCGCCATACGACCCTTCCACGTCTTGTTCTTTGGAGACGACGGGAGTGTGGGCGTGGGTGGACCTATTATAATAGTTACGGATGTTTGTTACGTGCACAAAATAGTAATCACAGTAAACTTTCAGGTTAGCTGTCAAACAATTACAATTTTTTAGCCCGCAATAGTTTTGGGTCATGGAAAAATTTCAATTTGGAAAAAAAATTCCAGATTTTTTTTCACATTTTTTCTATATTTTCCCACATTTGACGTAGACACCTGTCAAAAGTTGAAGTTTCTGAATGAAAAAAGGTATTTTTTCGTTGTGAAATTATTTTAAATCTCGTTTTTCTATAAGTGGCTTTTAGCTATTCAAGTTTATTTTATGATTCACGTTAAATAAAACTTAAAAATATATTTCTAAACGTAGAACATAATATGAGCCTTCGAAATTATATTTTTTCCAATTTTTCTAATTTTTCGGGAATTTTTTCGGAAAACTTTTCACTATATCAAATTTTTCGGAAAATTACCCAACAGTAGCTCGCAACAATACCTGATAACTGAAGTCGTTCACGAAATAGATGATACATCTTGATGATACTTAGTTGTTTTGCTCACTTTCTACATAAGTTACAACAAATGAAGTTCCGCCAACTTAGCATAGTAATATAATAAGTTTACGGACATACAAAATATTACAGAAGAAGTTTTACCAGTAGGCGATCGATTGCGTCCGATTTTCTTGCTTCTTTGCGGAGGTAGCGGCGAAGGACACTCGACGACGGCGACGGTGGGAGTGGGCACAGGAGCCGTCTGCGCAGGCGTGGGTTCCGCTGGCGGTGGCTCTGCAGAGTGCCTGCGCAAAGCTGCCAGCCATCGCTGTGCGTCTGCGGCACCTTCCGCCTGGAAAGAAATATTCTTATACCATTGCTCCATAATCACAGTTAGCCCGTAAGTCATACCTACTTAATAATGCAAGTTATTTGTCCATTTATTTTCAAAATTATACTTAAAAGACATACAGACATAGTAGAGTAGCAGCGATCTAGAATAGCGTATGTCTATTTTGAGAGACTAGATTGGATAATCATCCTAATGACAGCACCAGTACTGGCTCAGCAACACGTTAATTATGGACTGTATATACATGTATATACTTCAAAAATATATATATACGTATTTAAATTTCACTTTTCGTAAAGTGTCATCCTAATTTATTTCAATTCGTCACACTGGGACGCGATAAACTAGACCATGCAAAACGACTCTCTATTTCAGGGGTTCCCAAACGTAAAGTATTTATGTGGTCTGTGGTCATAACAGTTGAAAGTAGGAGAATATTCTGATAGAAAAACCTGCGCCTCTTGGTTCAAAAAAAAACACAGGTGTTTTTTCCGTGGTTATGGTACGAAATTCGTAATGATGATGGGGCTCATAGAAGAGAACTTACCTGTAGCAGCAGTTCAGCACCGGCGGCCGTGGTGACGCGTACCACGTGCTTGCGTTTGGTGTAGTCGTCGGCCAGTGCCGCGAGTGAGTAACGCACGTCCAGGGCGTCACGAGAGCCGCTCGCCGCTTCCGATCCTGAGCCGCTTACTGCGCCGGGGCTCTGCAACAATACAAAATTAACATTTAGATAAGGTTTGACCAAGTTTATTCAATAATGGACTGTCGTTTACGAAAAGAAGAAGAAATCAATGATTATTCCTTCATTCAAGAATTGTCTCCGTATTGTTTTTAATTTCTGTTCAAATACACGTTAAAGAAATAAATCACATATATAAACCACTTCATACATATAATGAAGTCTCAAAGTGAGGTAAGTTATTTTAAATTAATTTCAAGGTAATTATCTAGCACATCATTATCTACCCAAACAATATTCTGCGGCGTTCAAAAACAAGTTGTGGACAAATCGTGTGAAACTAAACGACAGCGCTCACGGAACTAAAATAAAAAATGCTTTGGTTAGCTTTCACCCCTTAATTATAGGTATTACCTTTCCAAAATGAATAGTTGAACGTAAATCAGACAAGTGCTTAGAATGCAGCTCGTGTTTTTAGCTCTCATTATCTTTGTGAAGGCGGCATTAATCAAATGAGACTCGCGACAGAGCAAGCGCATCTGGGTTACCGGGTACTGAGAATTGTCCGAAAAACATTGGCCGATCTCTAATTTTTTAAGTTCATTTTAATCGTTTATTAGTTTCAAGTTAATCGATATCTTGTTGCTGTCGACTCAATTGGAACATTTCTTTACAATATATTTTCAAGGCAACTTGAATGTACATTGTAGGTGTAGTTATGGTGCGACCAATGTCAGTTACCTATGAAAGATAACGGAGATTTTCCTAAGTGTTACCTGAAAGGGTGTTAATAGGCCGCAGCCTTCAAATGGACGCTAACAAATGTGAATAGTTGCATCCCACGCGTTTAATACAGATAAATAGCTGGAGTGTAGGCTGTGTTAAGTAGCCGCGCACTCTGTTTACCTGCCCGAGGCGCATGGCGAGCCTACTTAGTCGGAGGAAATCGAAAGTGCAAATGCGGTCGCGTCTTCCGTAGCTTTCTGCAAGGCACACGCTCCACCGCCCTTGGCGAACCTTTAGATGCCTATCTACGCAATTAGTTTGCAGCAGCCTGACAACTAGCGTAAAGAGGACAGCGGAGAAATTAATGCTCAAGTAAGAGTTGTTCTGAATAAAGTGCGAATACCTGTGTTATTAACTTTCCGTGAGCCAGTAGATACAATCGGCCTTTTGGTTTATATGGGAACCTTCTCGCTTTCAATATACACAAAAAATTACCAGACGTTAGATAAGGATCCACACATTACTGCTGTCTGACCCACATACGATGCGTATGCAATACTAAAATGTAAGTAAAAAAACTTGTTTGGATTTTCGGCGACAACGTTTCACGATCGCAACATATTCACATCAAATGCAATTAGCGGGTCAACGTCTCTTCGGAAGTGGCACAGTGACGTAACGTTGTCGTGCGCACGCGCACCTCCGCAGGAAAGATGCTAACCGACAATTAGCAGGGATGCGTAACGAGGATGCTCTATCAGGTCCAATTAGTTCTGATGTAACCCCTTTCTGGCGGCAATTATGTAGAAAGTATAAACGAAAGAAATTAGAAACCTCTCGAGCAATTGACCGATAAACGTAGGCAGTAGCGGCACCTCTATCGGCGGGTTGTAATAACGCATTACTTGTAGGTCAATTGGCTATACCTTCCAATAAACCTATTGGCGAGTCGCTATGTCGCCTCCGCCTTTTTCTTCTCACAGTACGTCGCGAATCGATCGTCTCTATAATTATTTTACGATGTTTTAGTGTTGTTCTCAATTAATTTATTATCGCTGTGATTGCTTAATGGGAAAGGCCATGGTTAAAACAAAATTAAATACATGTTTCTAAGTATTTCATCTATCTTACGTTCTCTTTTGTTTTACTTGACAAATTGCACAAACATTGAATTGCGACTATTTCCCAGACATCAATTCGTCAAGGGTGTACCTGGAGTGGTCACGATTGCTCTATTACCCTTTAGGTTTTGCCTTCGTGCATCAATTAACTTATACGGATGGTCAAGGTAATGTTAAAGTTAACATTTACTCCATCAAAATTAATGTCGTTAATCCAGTACATACATATCGGGTCTGTCAGTGGGGATTGTCTTATAATAAAACAATTGCAATGTTTATTCTGGTGGATGTACAATACGTTGGGAACCGTCCAAACCTTGTCGTAAAATTTACCAACAGGAATATAAAATCATCGATTATAAAGACTTTTCTTGTCTTTTGATTTATAATCTTTAATAGAATTTTCACGAAATTTTCGTTTTCCTTCTGTAATAATTGGAAACAAAGAGTAGGAAGTCTCACCAGAATATCGGTGTACCAGAGCGTCATGATTTGGCCAAAATCCATGCACGTCACGGGTGAGTACGAGACCGACACGTCGTGGTCATTGTCACGCCTTGTCCGAACACATTTCACAGCAATATGCACTATGATTGATAAACCCCTATCGATCAATCTATATAAGATTGAAACTGTTTCGACCTTAAACTGTGGAGGTCAACGATCTTAACGTCATTTATAAACTTCTGAAATTGCACTCTGAAACCGCCACTGGATTGATCACAATCACAACCGCAAAATTCGAAGTATTTATTATTGAAACCGTTATAAATCAGTCATTTCGATAGGCACGATCAACGCTGTGAATAAACTCAGTGACAAAAAATTGAAGCGGAATTATAAATAATTTCCGCATGCAGTAGCGCTGCGGGCGGGCGGCGCTTGCGACCGTCTGAAGGACTATGGCGCGGCACTCGCGTTGATCTGCGTCTGCGCAGAGAAAGTGCTCGCGCAGACTCCGTGGCGTCTGCCAAAATGCTCGTTTTCACGGTTCCGAAATTGATGAGTTTCCGGATGAACCGTTTGGTACAATAGTGTTCGCGCTCTGTTAGATGTTTGTGGGTTTGGCGGTCGGTAGTTTTACTTTCGTTTAATTAAAGCTATAGAGCGTGTTTTATATTTATCTAGTCACGGGGTTGTTTCATGTTTTGTGTCAACTGCGTAATTTCAGCAATTTCTGCTGTAATATTAATTTCTGTGTTGTTTAATCATTTGTTTGTAACAGAAATCAGCATACATCTACTTAATTGAATAGTAGTTTATTATTTATGTGAAATCCCAAGCAGCCGTTATGGTCGTAAACTTAACCGGCGATCGCATCGCGCGGTAATCGCGATTCGTCATCCATTTCCCGCGCCCGCCGCCGCCGCGGCCAGGGCTGACTGTATTATATTGCTGCTTTATGACTGATTTACACTGTTATTAATGACTTGTCACACAAGATTTGTTACATTCACTATGACGCCAAATGAGTTAAATCCGCTAACGAATTCTCAGAATCTACATACTTTTTACAAATCTCAATCGCCGTGGACACCTTGTTTGCAAAAGTCGCCGCGGTGAGCTAAATTACCTGTAGACGTTGCCTGATTTCTGACAGCCCTGTTAAAGTAAGCTGTCGGCGGTTTGTCATTGACCTCTTGATAGAAATTTTCGCGCTTTCCGTCAACGCAGAATTAGATTAAGATAAATCGTTTGTTGAAATCGAACATAACAAGAACTTCACACAATTCATGTTTGTATGACGTCCGAGAAACAGGAGATCAATAAACCCTTTTTGTAAATTCTGCGCAATAGACGAATAGAGTTTATTTCTTATGAGAGAGAAGAATTAAAGTACAAAGTTCAGTTGATTGAGTTTGTTTAAAGAATGTTTATAAGGTAAATTAGATATTTTTCAAGTGAGGTTGCTTAACAGCTTTTCATGTGCACCATACTCAAAAACGGTCGGTCATCAACAGACGCGCGCGCAATGATTGATGGCACAACGAATGGTATAGTCTCATCCGTTTTCAAAGCTTTTAAAGGCGCTTTCTGCAAATAAGACCTTTTTGTTTCCATAATATTTGCATTTCTATTTTACGTAACTGTTGCGGCAATCCATTCAAAACTTTGGAATAGCCTTTCGAGTTTATTGGTAGTAGATATTACGGTATTGTAGTAGGTACATTTATCGTGACTAAGTGACGAATAAACAATAAAAGCTTTACTCGATGACTCAGCGGCGTCTAGCATTTTATAGAGCGGCTCTTTTAAGTTAGTACCTCACGATATTTGGACAATAATGAGTCACTATTGCGTAAGGTAGAGAGCCTATACAAGCCCACGAAGGTTTTTTTGAGGATTGTCGTAGATACGAATTATTCAGCGATCAGTTCAGTGTTACATAAACGTAATAGTGGTAGCCGTGTAATGATACCGGTAAACCAGCTGTTGTCATTTCTTGGAGGAAGCGAAACGATCGTTGTCTTTTATTAGGATGAAGAATTTATTGCACTTGCATTTCTTCCTACACACTCAAGGAAGTGGTCGGATGTGCTTCCACAATGATGTGAAAAAATATCTGGTAAGAATGAGAGTAGACCAAGGATGTTGGGTAGCAAATATAAAAATATCATAGATTTAACTGCATTCACTGTAACAGAAACCAGATCGGCTGGAGTCATTGGGCTCATCCTAACAGCGATTACGTCAGTCCCAACGTCATAGCTGCACGCATTTGGGTCAAATGTTATTACAATGTTTTATAACCCATTTTGTGACTATTTATAAATGAAATTGTTAGGAAATATGGGTAGCAGCCTGATTGAAACTAGGGCAGAAAATTAGCATAATAAATTTCATATTTTACTATTTCATAAAGCCATGAAACTTTAATGGGTTCGTGAGTATAATTTATGAAATTTTGGGCGTGAAAATCTTAATTAAAGGCAACTGACATATTATGTAGGTTTTGTGAATTACATAAGAGTTATTATTCAGTTGTACACAAATTTATAATAAGATTTATTGTACAAAAACATTCCACAATAACATTTTATTACGACCTCAGTGTCACTATGTTACGACGACTATTATTTGAGAACTTCTATGGCCCAATATGAACTTACGTATTAAAAATCCCTAACGATTTTCTGGAAATTGCAGGTCAAAAATGAATTGTTTTTAATTCAAACT